AAAGACCTTCTTTCTCAGAAAAAAGTTCTAATTCTAGGATTCCACTTCTCTTAAGGAAGGCATGACATATATGCATAAGTCTAGGCTGTTGCCCTTTACTTATAATTCTACTAGCTGTTAAGCAGTGTTGCCCAGGTATTTGTTTATCCCAATCCTGCATTAGACATTCACAAATATCCAGTCCAAATGTAATTTCTAATGTTGGATTTCCCTCTTACCAAAGGGAACCCCCTTGTGGAGTACTGTGAAGCCGTTACCATAGCAACTCCACTGTGCTGGGCAGTAAAAGCCATTTAAGGCAGTACAGTAGAAGACATTATAAGGCACAACAGGCTGTATCTTAACAGAATACACATCCCGAGGCTGTTAGGGTGTCTTACCCCCAGTGTGTTTGTTTTCAGAGAGTAAGTCATCTGTGTACCAAATTTGGTTGAAATTGCTCAAGGCGCTCCAAAGTTATGTTGGAACATACACACACAGCCATTTTTTAATATATAGATAAAATTATTGCAGCATTTTCAAAAATTTACTACCTGAGTTCCTTTGCTTTCTGTTTGCAGTTCCATCCTTTTTTTCCTTTTAGATCAATTGAATTATAAATCTATGGGCAGGGTTTATTATATTTTTAATTATGCGTAGTATAATACAAATGTTAAGTATTTTGTATGTTGCTAATAATCAATCTCAAGCAATAGTGGCTTTGCAAATTTCTAACTCTCATGAGAGAGGCATTTTTTAAAAAGGAACAGAAGAAAATGTTACTTAATCAATGGTAATTTTTGCACTACCTTTTTGGTTTTGCAAAATTCTTAGTTAATATATTTTCATTGTAAGAAATATGTCTTTCGTACCACTATGGTACACAAATAGCAGTCAAGATTAAATTATTAGTTTTTATTAAAACTTAAGTATATCAAAATCTATATTTTCTTTAGATTACCTCAAGTAAATATTAATATCTCATGTAAGTCATGAAAATGGCACTGTTCAGCTGATGAGCCAGTTGCTCATTTTATGTGATTCATTTTAGTCATGATTTATTTTAATTTACTTTGCTTAGCTGACTTTGATTATTTTTGTTGCTCCCTGAAGATAACTAAGTAGTCAAAACATATTGAGGAGAAAGAATTTGGTGCAGTGATTAAAATACCAGGCCGAAAACCAGGAGACCACTACTACTCCCATTTTTGACACAGAACCAGTTGGGTTAACTTAAGCCAGTCACTTTTTCTCAGCTGTAGGAAGGAGGCAATGGCAAATCACTTCCGAAAATCTTGCCAAGAAAACTGCAGGGACCAGTCCAAGCAGTTGCCAGGAACAATGACTTAAAGGCATGAACACAAAACAAAAACAAAATACATCCTGAGTGTCTTAAAATTTAATACAAACCCCTCAAGAAAGGAAAATGGAACAGAGATAATAAAAAATGGTAACAGAATGAGTCCAAGATCTCAGAATCTATCCAGATCTGTAAAACGATGATTATATATCAGAGAAGAAATGTTTAAGTAAAATTAACTCTCTGTGTGTATGTGTAATTAGTAATTATTCACATACTTCTCAGCACAACTTCAGTTATTTTCATATGCTTTTAATTAACAGCTGCCTTTATTTCATATGACATCCTGCTTCCTAACCACAAAAACCCTAATTCTTTGTTGGGTTTATTCTGTGCAATTTTGTTTTCTTTGAGATGCTGAGCATAAAAGGTTTTTGAGAATTAAGACCCCAAATACCTTTCACTTAGACATGTGAGCTACACTCACTAGAACCAAAGGACAGCAAATGACAAATATATTGACTTTTAAGACTGGGATGAGTCTTAAAACAGATTTCTGTTGGATGTTTTTCTTGATGAGTCTCATCAACAGATTTTTCAAGAATCAATGAGATACTGTTTGATGTCAATACCATCAATACTATTTACCACTATGCTTAAAAGCCACAGGCCTTCCCCATCCCTTGGCTCTAGAAGTATGGGGCTCCCAAGAATTAAACCTTTGAATCGATTAAACAGGACTGGGGATTACTATGGTATCCCCATGGCTATGCTCGTTTAATTTAAGAGGTAGAGTGATCTGGACTCTGACTGAATTTTGCTTTAAGTACAAAAGCAGAACATGCACCAGACTGCCAGTCAAACAGCCAAGTCAATTTGTTTAGCATTGAAATAGGTGCTGGCTTTTATAATTGTTCTTTTCTGTATATATTGTGAAGTTAACATACAAATATGAAATAGAACTCCTTAAAGGGAGTTTACGGGGGGGGGGGAATCACAAGACAAAATGCTTCATTTTCTTAAAAAAATACTTATTGCTAAAATACTTAATACTTTTTAGTAGCAAATACTTTTTTTCTGACGATACTTTCAGACAGTCACATGTGATACTGATAGAAGTTTCCATTTGGATCTAAATTGGAAAGTGAAACCTTGAGGCAAAAAGGGATTAGCGAGTGGATTATATAAAACGCCTCATGACTTCTCTCATGGTTTTATGATATGACCAAAGTGAGCGGGTTTATTGTGAAATATTCCTTATTATATTAAAAACACAACCCAGGCAAGCTCTGAAACGGCCAGAATTAAAAACAATACCCTGATGTAACAGTAAGAAATGATGGATAATGTAACAGACCTCAACTCACAGAATGCAATATGGAATTGCCAGACTATAATTGTTTTAAAAGGTTGCATTAATAAAGTTGCAGATTTAAGCCCTGAGGAAACTTAGAACGCTGTTTCATCTCCCCTTCTGTAGAAAGCCTTTAACAGAGTTAAACTTATGGTGTCTCAGAGGAATTAATTACTTAAACCACTTTGTTACACACACAATGGGGCAAACTGATGATCAGTGCAATCCACTTCCAGGATTATATTAATATTTTAAAGCTGTTCTTAAAGTGTTAAAGTAACTTTCTAATGCAGAGATGGGAGGTTTTTTGCAGCTACAGTTTGCAACTGTTTTTTTTTTTTTTTTAAACAACAGTAAACTGACTTCTGTTTTATGCACTGGTAATGGTTTTCAGTCCAGTTTTAAATTCCAGTATTAAGAGGTTTAAGAGGTTTAAGAGGTTTATTAACATTTATAGGCCGCCCTTTTCCCTGAGGGGACTCAGGGCGGCTTACATAAGATCAGGGGAGGGAAATACAAACAGTGACGTAGACAAACATAGAGTAAAATAATGAGCAACATTCATTCATCATTCGGGAGGGGCGCTTATCTTTGTCCCCAGGCCTGACGGGCTAGCCAGGTCTTAAGGGCTATGCGGAAGGCCTGGACGGTGGTGAGAGTACGAATCTCCACGGGGAGTTCATTCCAAAGGGTCGGAGCTACTACTGAAAAGGCTCTCCTCCTTGTAGTTGCCAGCCGGCACTGGCTGGCAGATGGAATACGGAGGAGGCCCAATCTGTGAGATCTAATTGGTCGCAGGGAGGTAATTGGCAGAAGGCGGTCTCTCAAGTACGCAGATCCACTACCATGAAGGGCTTTATGGGTGACTAGTAGGACCTTGAAGCGCACCCGGAGATCGACAGGTAGCCAGCGCAGCTCGCGGAGGATAGGTGTTATGTGGGTGAACCGAGGTGCACCCACGATCACTCGCGCGGCCGCGTTCTGGACTAGCTGAAGTCGCCGGATGCTCTTCAAGGGCAGCCCCATGTAGAGCACATTGCAGTATTCCAGCCTAGAGGTCACAAGGGCCCGAGTGACTGTTGTGAGAGCCTCCCGATTCAGGTAGGGTCGCAACTGGCGCACCAGGCGAACCTGGGCAAATGCCCCCCTGGTCACAGCCGTCAGGTGGTGGTCAAAGGACAGCTGTGGATCCAGGAGGACTCCCGTATTAAATTCCAGTATTGAATTTATCACCCAATTTTGGAAAGACCGAGGAGTAGCATCACTCTGATTTTTAAATCTTTTCTTAAAGAAATAAAATGGAGGTTGTTACGTAAGTGAGAGAAGAGAGGCAACAGTTTAATTCCTTAACTGGCTGTAGAAAATAAAAAGCTGAAAATCTTGCCCCCCAAATTAACACAATTGAATCAATCATGTAAAAACTGCCTCATTCTTCAGCTCTGAAAAATGTGTTGCAGTACATTAAATGACAGGAAGTATGTTAAAAGGATATATTTCAAATTACCAGACTCTATTCTCTCATCAAGAATAGCGGTGTTAAAATCCATGCAATAGATAATCAAACCCTTGTATAAAAACAGCAGCACTGCAAATAATATATACTACAAGATAACATTATTTATACAGAAAAAATAGACAAATTTGTAGTTGTCATAGATGAGAAAATGTCTGTAATAACAAACATGCTAAACTTTAAACATGTACTTCAAAGCTTGTTAAATGGTTCAACAGTATCAAAAAGAACATTATTCCCAAATGGAGAGATTAAAAATAAAAAAACTGCAATTTGATCTACAGTATCATGACAACCAAAATTTTCCATTATAAAATGTGAGAACAATCTTTGGGCTAATTCCAGGCCACCCAGAATAGTAAAACAACTATAGATCGTTTGAGGTTCAAGCTTTTTTTAATTAATTTAAACATAGGTCACAGGATATAAGAAGTTAAAATGTATGGTATGATTTTGGATTATAGGTTTCTAAATTATACAGAAAATGAACCTAATATAAGGCTTGAGAAATGAGTATTTATTGGTAAATTAAGCAATGTATGGTGAGATATAATGGCATATAAAGCCAAATCCCAAATCCATGACAGAGGTGGTATTCAGCAGGTTCTGACCAGTTCTGGAGAACCGGTAGCGGAAATTTCGAGTAGTTCAGAGAACTGGCAAATACCACCTCTGATTGGCCTGAGTCCCAGTTGAATGGGAGGGAATGGGAATTTTGCAGTAACCTTCCCCTGCCAGGCCCACCAAGCCGTGCCCACAAAACCGATAGTAATTTTTTTTGAATCCCACTACTGATCCATACTCAAAATATTATGTGTGACATTCATTTTTAATCCCACCTCCCTAAAACTTACTGTTCTGAGTCGTAGTAATCCATGCACTTCTTTTTCTTATTATATGCTGCCACTCTGAAAGGTACAATTTCCAATGTTATCAAACCTGGTGCCATAGTCAAGACTTTGGCACCATGGGTTGGATCATAGAGGTCTTTCCCAGTCTCAGGATGTGGCATTCCAGCTGGGTCTCGGCCCACTATATAGAAGTTTGCTCCAGCCACCATTCTCGCCCTGCAATGCCACTGAACCTAGAATAAGATTCAAGACATTAGCAAAAAGCAGAACTCAAAAAGAAGGTGCAACAGACATGAAAGATGATCTCAAACAGATTTTAAAAAAGCAGGTGTCCTCTAGGCTCATACATTGTTCAAGGGCACATCTACTATGATTGTCATCAACTTAAGAGATAAAGGTAAAGGTTTTCCGCGCACATATGTGATAGTTTTTCCCAACTCTAGGGGATCGTGCTCATCTCTGTTTCAAAGCTGAAGAGCCAGTGTTATCCGAAGATGTCTCCGTGGTTATGTGGCCGGCATGACTAAACGCACAGAACTCTATTACCTTCCCATCAAAAGTGGTTCCTATTTTTCTACTTGCATTTTTATGTGCTTTCAAACTGCTAGGTTAGCAGAAGCTGGGACAAGTAATGGGAGCTCACTCCATTACATGGCACTAGGGATTTGAACCATTGACCGTTCTGATCGATAAGCTCAGCGTCTAAGCAACTGAGCCACTGTGTAGCTTAAAGATATAGACTATCAAAAATTCTAATGCACAACACTGCATAGCAGTTTGTATAGCAGTTTTACAAACAGAGGGATGCCACTTATCATGCCAGAGAATCATACTGGAAGAAAGCCTCAAAAATTTCTGTGTGAACACGTACCCATAAAAGGGAAAAAAACAGACATTCAAACTACTAGATAGCCTTGCTCCATTGGAAGCAGAATTCCACAGAATAGCTCTCTATGTAACAGTGTTCTTTTTAAATAATAACTACCATATTTTTGGAGTATAAGACGCACCGTTCCCCCCCTAAGAGGGTGAAAATTTGGGTGCATCTTATACACCCAATGTAGTCCTGCCCACCCACCAGTCCCCACCCTTTGGTCTCTGCCTCCCAGCAATTTACCTCCTTACAGCAAATGGGAAAATGGGGCTTGCAGAAGCGGCAGTAGGCTATGGTATGGTAATCCCAGCAGCCTGAAACAGCTGATCATCAGGAGGCCCATGCTGAAACCGAAATTGAAAGTGAAATAGGCTGTTTGCTACAAGGAGCAAAGTGCTGGGAGGCAGAGGCAGATTTTTTCTTCTTCTAATCAGGCTAAACTGAAAGAGGCTGTTTGCTGTTTACTGCAAGGAGGTAAGTCAATAACTATAAATGCCTATAGAATGTTCAAAGACTAATTTTTTAAAGACTGATTTATTATTGTTCTAGACAACTTAATAAAATGAAGAAGCTTTTTAAAATAAATGCTTGATCTGAAGAGGCCCAGTGCTATTGTATCTTCTTGTAAATAGCAGATAATAATGTATACTTCCAGAAAGCACATCAATTTTAACAGCGTCTGTACAAGTATGGTCTGAGATGTAACACCACAAATAGTGTATATTGTCTCTACTGTTTGCTGCAAGGAGGCAAATTGCTGGGAGGCAGAGGCAGATTCCCCCCCCCCCACCTTGTTTTTCTCCCCAAAAGCTAGGTGCGTTTTATACTTCAGAGCATCTTATACTCCGAAAAATACAGTAGTTAAAATGCCTTTTAAAGTTAAAAGAATAGTGGGAGGGGGGACTTATTACTTTCTCAAAGGTCTTTGAGAAAGATAACTGGATGATGTTTTTTTCCTTGAGCAAGAAATGTTTCCACCCCCCCTTGAAAAAGAAGATGTTTCGCATCTCATCCACAAAGTTTCATCCGATTAGAACTGATGAAGCTTCTTGGTTAAGAAGCAAAATGTCTTCCTCTTTGAGAGAGAGAGAAAACTATTTCTTCCTCAAGGAAAAAACAGTTGCCTTTTTTTTAAAAAAAAAATTAATTATTTATATGTTAATCAAGGAAAAGTAGCATCTGAGAAACTATGTATTTTCTAGGCTGAGCTTTTACATGTTTCTTTCAAACTGAGAATATATATTTCACATGGATTGTATTTACATGTACGCTAACAAACATGTTTGTCATTTTTTTGGCAATGCAGTTTCTCTGCATAAGGAATAGAGAAAACTTGTAAGACAAACCATACGTATATTTTGTTTAAGAAAAGGAGAAATACAGAATTCATAATGAAAAAAGGTGGTAAAAAAGGAATAACAGCGCCTTAAACCTCTTGACAAGGGCTGTCATCAAAATAAACTTCTATTAAAGTGATACGCATAAATTCAATGAAAGTCAAATTCAATGAAAGTCAAGAAAGAAAGTCACATACTTCTTTCCATTTTAGATTCTGTGTATCTGTCAGAAAAACTTATCATCCTTTATGAATTGTGGTGTTTTCCATGTGTGAAATGGAAGTGCTTCTTAGTATGTACAGTACTTGCATTTATAAAAATACATTATATAGTTCATTAAATATTTTTAGAGATGGGCACTAGATATTTAAGATGAATAAACATATTACAATTATGATATATTGGTATCATTAATATAATATATTTGACATTGCAAATTGCGAGATTTACACATTCAAAATACTATTCATTTTGGGAATGAAACAGTATTTGATGATTATTTTGTCCCTCCTAGCGGAGGTTTTCTTACCCCCTAGAAATGAAAAGGGGAAGGAAATTGAAGTCCTCAATGTTGCTAGAATTCTATTCCCACATAATGCTTATTTTCTGCTAGTCAGGAGATTTCAAATCAATGTGCTTTTATTATAGAAATAATTTATTAATTTTAAAAAATAAAACAAGAATTCTTTATTCTGGAAGCTATAGCAATCACTTTTGATAAAGGACAGGCAAATACTATGAAATGGAAAAGAAATACGTTCACCAGTTTATTTCTTTGCTTTTTTTCTTGCAACCAACTCAGTACTATTCACAAACTATACAATATATGTTTCTAGGATGTCCAGAAAAAAATTATCCAAGAGAGATGTTTTTAAATCTCAATAGTATCATATTTACCAAACAGCATTAAATTAGCAGTACCGAAAAATGTCTTTTTATGGGGAACTTGATATTGGTATATTTTCTAGGTTTTCATGACAGCAAGAGTCTTTTCAGTTGTCTCCTGCACATCCAGATGCCTATTCTCTGCAAATAATGCTAAATAAGAAAATTGGTTTCTGGGAACACGATCTGAATTAATTGACTACTGAAATGCTTACACAGGATGATTGCACTTTTATAAGAGCTGCAAAGTTGATTTGGCTAAAGCTTGATCAAGATGGCTTTAAACATTTTGGTATATATGCATACTCATCATGTATTGTCCAAAGGAATAAGAAATAGCAAGCCAAAAGAAAGTAAGTGATGATATAGAAAAAGGAAAAAGAAACATACCATAGCTAAATCAGAAAAAAACTATTGAGGCTAGAGCAGAACTACTCAACTATTTAGCTAAATTGTCTCCAAGAAAGAACACATTCCAGTAGTTAAATGTAAGAAACAAACAAAGAGGTAGGATTGAAGACTGAAATTGACAGACATGGGACTCAATAATATCTACTGCATTTAACTCTAAATTTAAAACCAGCACCAAGAGAAAAATAAAGAGAAAACAAAATATAAATACAATCAAAAATTCTCTGTAAATGTCCCTATATTGTCAATCTAATATTGCCAATTCAGAACAAACCAGACCTGGAAATTTTGCAAATAATATATATGTGCGTGGCAGAGTTGTATGTGTTGATATGTGCATATGTGTGGCTTATGTGCAAGGATATTTGCCAAGTGTCCTCAAAAGGGCACAAATAATAAAAGAAAAATAAAGAAAAAAGGAGGGAAAAAGCTACATGAAAATGAGGCAAGAAAATACATAAAGTAGGGTAGGATAAGACAAGACAAAAGAGAGAGAAACTGTATTTAGGCATTAGCAGCAAGAAGGATGAGGATAATACCTCACTTGGTTAATAATAATAATAGTGAAAAACATTATTTCATCAAGAGGTGATTAAAAACTGAGTAGAATTACTAATAAAATGGCTGCAAAACAGCAAAATGCAAGACCGACCGCATCATCCAAAGTATAATTTCCAAATCACAAAGTAATTATTCTACTTTATTCTTCTTTGGTCTGTCTCCACCTTTAGCACTACAGCTGATTCTGTTCACCATCTACTAAGATGAGTTTAAACACACCAGAAGAGTTTCAGAGAAGAGCATCAAGGTGATTAAGGAAGTAGAAAGTCAGTCCTTGGAAAAAATATAGAAGGAACCAGGAACATTTAGTTTACAAAAGGGAATGGTATAATAGCACTCTTTATATATCTAAAAAGGATGCCACACTAAATACTTCCTACTTATTTTCTATCATTTTAGAATGCAAGATATGGAAACGGATTTTAAAATGCGAAAGGACAGATTATATAGTTCATTATATAATGAACCCTTAACAGTAAGAGCAGTTCAACAATGAAACCATTCATTGGAAGAAAATAGATACTAGTTATCTGCCTATGATTCCTCCACTAAGAACTGGTTTTGACACAGCAGCCTAAATGATTTCTTACAACTTTAGGATTCCATGATTCAAATACAGGTTTGGGGCTTAATGCAACATGCCATCCGGACAAACAAAACAACTGAATTTAAAAGAACTTTTAAGTGGAACAATCTGGAGAATTACAAAAAACATTTACCAGTAAATAGAAATCCCTGGTACATCAATATGCTAACATTACCACCAAGAGCTACATTATTCGCTGCCAGAGATTTCCATCCAGACCAGAGAGAAGAGTTCTGCTAATGGACAGAGGCATGTTGCAAAATAGGGAAAAACCCTATCATGCTAAAGTTTTGATTGATGGAAGATTATCTGGTAACGAAGACTCACAACTGTACCTGTTCATGCTCAGGGCATTTAAGGATATATACTTCAGGAGCTGAATTTTTCAGATCCTTCAAGGAAAATGCAAGAAAGTTGACAATATATCTTACAATAAGCATTCAGACCCTGTGTGAGAAAGTAGTTTTGAAATGTATACAAACTTAGTGGTTATCGTATATGCATTCATCTTTCCCATGAATTCTAACAAATTTGCTTTTCTAAAGAAATCACTGGTTTTTTGGTATCTTTTGCAGCTGTACTGAAAACAGCCTATCTGCTGCAAATATAATTGCCTAGTTTATTTGACGACACGTCCTACTTTATAGAAAGTTCTTTAAAAAAAAAAAAAGAGGATAGAAAGGAAAATGTGACATGTTTAGATTTAGTCCTACAAAACATCACCATGAAATCTTTACTGACGGGAAAGCTATGTTCCAACACTCGATAACTATATTGGTTAAGCAGCTGTCTGTTGTTCTGCAAGTCATTTGCATTACAGAAACAAATCTGGTACCAATGTCTTCTAAATGACCTAAAGAAAATGATTAAAGGAAAAGTTGTCTTTTATTAGTTGGCTAAAACACAATATTGGCAAACGGTTTTCTGAGGTCATTGGAAAACTTGGCATAAATTGAAGAATGTTTCTTATTTTATTTGCAATCATGACTTAGGACTCCAAGTCCAGATTTTCTTCATCTCCTCGCTTCCATGCCCTCCAAGCATAGGAAAGAATATCCACATACATGGCATGGATTATTTTCAGTAGCCACAATAAAAATGACAAACGCACAAAGAACATGAATGAAAGGAAAGGTTCCAATGAAGTTATAATTGGTTTACATCCAGATTAGCGTCCAAAGGGTGAATAGTTAACAAAAAAATATTATTTTGGAATAAGCCATCATTTTCAGACATATAAAATAGAAATAGGATTAATTCTTTCCATGCACTCTGCTCTCAACTATTATCTCAAATCTCCTACAAATATTGTACCTTATTCCAATACAAATAGGCTCCTCAAAACTTGCAGCATTGAGGAATTGAAATTCTAAAATGCCCAGAAGGCCATAATATATATTTTGGAATTAATAATCTACCTTTCATTCAAGACGTTCAAGGCAGAGAACATTATATTCCCCCTCCAATGGACTCTGTCATGCAATAAGCTTTATGGCTGAATGGAAAGTTTAGTCATTATATCATACTGGTCTTTTCACTGATTACATGAAGGAACCAAAAATGTATGCAGCAACCATAAAAACAGACATAGCTCTGATCTTCCTCTACTGTAATTATAGAACAGAGCAGAATATAATGTTATAATATCATGATAATAAAATAAGACCTAGAATTATTTCAACTTAGTATTCACCCTCAGGATTGATGTCTTTAATATCATGTTTTGGTAACTCTGCCAGCAATTGTTGGATCAATAAACATTTTTCATGTTAGAATTATGGAGAAGTATCAGATTTTTACAGCTTATTCCACTGCTATACTTCCAATCATTGAAAACTGTATCACATTTTTGAACTCTAAGATTGTGATAAGTAAGTTGTGCACAATAGGAATTCATATGTCTATTTTGGAGTAGCCTATTAAGAGAAAAACACTTCTGCCAACTAGAAGGAATGATGGATTTCTCAAATTTGAAATTCTCACAAAGTACCAGATTTGTCAGTCATAATTCCCAGACTGCAATACCAATTTGAATTGTCTTTCTGCATGCCAAGTAACAAAGCTACAGCAAGAAGCATAGAAAAAAGACAGAAATATATCAAAAAGAAGTTTGAGCTATTTTCAGAACCTACTTGGCAAATTGAAGATTAGCATGATGTATAGAGTGAAATCCTAGGGGTTGTAGCTCCCCATGAGCTATCCAGAAACCTTCTAAATGTTTTCAATTAATTTTACTTTATGATGTAATGGATGTAGAACTTTATTAATTATTGAGAAATAGCCATTTTAATTATTTTGAATGTACAGTATGCCACTCCAATTTTAATTCAAATACTATGTAAATTAAATCAAATTTAGCTTTGTCCCGATTTCACCCACATTGGAGTGCAATACCCTAAAGGCTATTCTGGCCCATGGTTTGAGACAGAGTGGAACCATGTGGTGCTGCCATGTTTTCCCTGCCTAGCAAATAGTATTGCATTGCTTCACTTGCTGGAATCAGCAAGAGGAAGCAGCAGGATAGGATTAACATCTCAGCAAATAAAGTAAATATCTCATGCTGCCTGGTTGATTTGGAAGTGACCCTCTTCCAAATGTCAGCAAAAGGTAACAATTGCAATGAAAAGAGAAATAAAAGCCAAAGAACAGCAATATTTCATGTCTGGAACACAATTGTATTTCTATTCCAAGCAATCATAAAGTTTTTCAGTTGCACGTTTTTCCTTCATAAACATCTATTAACACTTCAAGGTAACAAGTCCATGCAATGAATTGCTTTCTTAGCATAATTATGTACAGACTGGAACAATTCTGAAAACCATTTTCATTTCTGGACTAAGGCAGAAGTGAGGTGATTTGTTTTTTGGTTTGTTTTTTTTAGCAAATCATCTTCCTTCCTGAGTTTTCTCAACAAGATAAATCATAGATTTTAAACCTGATCTGTTTTTATTAGATATAATATCAGAAAAATGAGATAAGAAAAGTATGTATTTAATATCACATGTCGTAAACAGCAGTGAGGTTTATATGCACAAAACATTGGAAAAATGAAGAAACTACGAGATGAAGAGATAAAGTAGATACTAGACTGGGCAGAAATCCATAGATTGAAATTGAAAATTAAACAGAAAGAAAACACAGAATACTATCAAACATGGAATCTATTTTATCAGTGACTAACCGATAACCCAGTGTTGCCTGGGTATTTATTTATAGGGGCAAATGTCCAGATCAAACCTAATTTCTAATGTTGGATTTTCCCATGTGGAGTACTGTGAAGCCGTACAGTGCAGTGGCAATTCCACAGTACCCAGTACACAGTACAGTAGAAGCCATTTTAAGGCACAACAGGCTGTATCTTAACAGAACACCCTGAGGGGTGTAAGGGGTGTAAGTATTTGTTTCCAGAGGATAAGTCATCTGTGTACCAAGTTTGGTTGAAATTGCTCGAGGCGTTCCAGAGTTATGCTGGAACATACATACACAACCGTTTTTATATAGAGAGAAATGGAAAAAAGGGGTGGAGATTAAGAATGTAACCAACATTGTTAAGCAAATTAAATACCCAGACAATACGATGTTTTAACAAGGGCACTAAGAAATGTAATTAATTAAAAACCAGTTTTAAAAAAATAGATAAAATGGCTTGAAGACAATTTCAACACAGAGAGGAATAGAAGTGACCTTGATGGATAGGAAGAAAAATGACATGCACATGTATAGAATAGTAATGGTAGAGAAGTTCAATATCACAAGTACCACCAAAAATTCCAAATAAGATCTGGAAAAAAGAGCATGATAATTTAAGCTTTTATGCCGTTTCTTCAGTCAGTGTGCTTTTGAAATGTTTACTTACACTTGTCTCAACTCCACATACAGATCTGAAAGAAAACACTAAAATGAAGAGGAATTGGGAACCAGCTGTTCAATTCTGGCTATGGTTCACTATGTTAAGAACACTGTAACTTTGTAGAAATGAAAAGATGAAGAAATAGAATAAGGAGTTTGTCTGTAAACAAGAAACTTCTGAAGATCAGCACAACAGGACCTTTCCATTAGGGCCTCTAAACCAAATTTTATAAACAACTCATGGCAGAAAAATTCAGGAGAACCATGAATCATTCAAGGGTCTTGCGGTGAAGCAGCAGTGCCTAGGGGAAGCTGTATTGATAAATCAACTCAGGAAATCGGCTGAAAGGATCAAAACAAATGGACGAAGGAATTAGCAAGCTGTGGTATATGACGTATTACCTCGGTTGGTCCAGCATACATCATAGGAGAGGGAAATATGGCCACAACAGTTGTTTCTGGATTCAATATTCCTTCCTCTAGCACTGCTGCATGTTGCTTCATTCGCCACATCAGAGGAACATCATCATCCTTTGTCCAGCCACCCAGAGGATGCAAAAGCAGAACTGGGCGCCTGTAACCTCGATCCAGAAGCTGCTTGTGTGTGTCCTGCATCAACAGGGCATGTCCATTGTGCACAGGGTTGCGCAACTGGAAAGCAAAGACAGCATCTGAAGAAAGAAGGGAGAGATGTCAACCATTCTAGAAGTAACAAATCAACAATTCTAGTAGTCAATGGCAAGTG